ATTTAACGTACTTACTTAGCGTAATCTATTTCGGCATAACCACCGCTGATAAAGGCTATTTTTTTAAAATTAATAAAGTCTCTTCCATATTAAGGAATAGGTAAAAGTAAATTAATTAAAAAAAATGGATGTCCTTAGAAGGAAAACAAAACAGTTGCCACCTAAGGCTTTCGAAATTCTTAATCTTATAGGTACTAAATACTATCTACATTGCTAACTTCCTATCTGTTTACCATAATAAGTTTATAGACATTTGGTCAGGTGGAACATAGAACAAAAAAGTATTTTCGGTAAATTAAGGGTGAAGGAAAGTTTCTTCCTGGTTCTTGACCGTTCCTTTGCGTTGAGAACAGGTAATAAATGTAAATTTAGAGAAATTTACTTTTTTGGCAAGTCAAAAGGTACGAATAAATGATATAAATTTATTAGTTAATAGTAGTTTTTTTGTTTACAGGAAATGTATTGACATTTGAAGTTTTACCGATTGTGGGAACGTAACTAATAATTTAAGAACCCGATGTATAACAACATTCTTCATCAAGCAACTAATATACTTCATGTTTATTAATACTTAAAACATAAATAAATTTTTTACAGAATCAAGATCATTTAACAAAATTTCCCCAGAATTGCCCACAACAAATTTTTAGGTGTGCAAATATCTTTAACCGACTTCGAAAAAACCGAAGGTTATCAAATGGACCTGTAATTTTTTTGTATACCTACTTTAATACTTGAAATAAGCAGTGTTGGCCTAGTGGCTTCAGCGTGCGACTCTCAGACCTGAGGACGTAGGTTCGATCCCCAGCTGTGCACCAATGGACTTTCTTTCTATGTGCGCATTTAACATTTGCTCGAAAGGTGAAGGAAAGCATCATGTCTTAGACCCTGTTCACCTTCTTGCCTATTAGATTTAAAAATGATCATGAATCAGATTCAGACATCTGAGGCCAAGGCCTAGAGGTTGTAGCGCCACTGGTTTATTTATTTATTTAATACTTGAAATAATGTTCAAAAAAATATATTTTTGTATACATGATAAATTTACTTTTACTTTCTTTATTTGAATTATACTTACACATAAAATCCATCTTTCCCATTTTTTTAATACAATAAACAAGCATATGGAACAGCCATAAAAGACAGCTGCCGCAGCCCATGGTAACCCATATTAGTCGGTGCGCTGCCGGCTTTTAAGAGAGTATACCCTTTTTTCAAAGCTTGGAGATCGTATCTCCAAGAAACGACCTCCACTTGAAGCCGATGGCACAGCGCGCCAATCCGCAAATGAAAGCAATTTATATCAATCAATAAACAAAACAACAAAAAGGGTGCGTGTACTTATGTACGCGCGTAAGAAGTTATACTTCTTTGGTATTATTAAAAATAGTTTTTGATTGCATGCAAATAATTAATTACAATTAAATAATCAGACTGGAAAAGGAGTCATTAAATAGTCAATAAAGTTCAGTTTACATTTGAAAAATTAAATAAATAAATATTTATTATTTTTCTCTTACATTAAGTGTAACATAAATTGTATTATTATTCGAATGTTGTTTTTAAATTATGTCCAATGCCGTAGCATCTTCCGTGGGCAACTTCATTCTGTTAATTTTGTGTCACGGTGCGCGCGCATCGTAAAATTTCACTCTCATCAATTTTTCATAACGCGCCTAAAGATATACTTAACTTCAAAAATCTTACAAACATATACTTATTGTTTTCGTGACCGGACTAGGTTAATTCTAAGTAAAACCACTCAAATCATTGTAAATATTTATTTCAAATACTATAAGTGCTTATGGTAACCAATGATACAATAAGACTCTTCAACATAAAATCTATAACTTATAGTCCTTATAATATCACCATATCTGCAAACCAGTTGCCAGCTAAGCCAAGTCTTTCGAAATTCTCAATCTTAAACTAAATACTATCTACATTAATTCTTATATGTAAAATGTAGGGTACTCACTTAGAAGTACATAGCTTCCTATCCATTTACCATAAAGTTTTAGGCATTATGCAAAAAGGTGAAGAAGATATTTTCAGTTTTCAATAACAAGTGTACGAATAAAATAATGTTAACAATGATGTTAAGGTAAGATATACAGACTCGTCCCATATGTCCAAAATATTTTATTGACATTTACATTATTGGGAGTAAGTAAAGCTTAGGTTTCCTAGAAAAGCGGTGCCGTTAACTAACGGCCGTCATTTTACTGTTGTTAATAACGGCCGTCTTTACTTTTTAACATAATGCAAAATAACAATCATTTTTGCTCGTCCAAGTCACGTTTCCACTCATTGTAATAATTAAATATGGGCACCGCTACACGCGAAAAACGTTGATCTAATGTTTATCACCGCTATGACGGCCGTCATGCAAATGACAGCACCGCTATTTGACGTTACGGTGACACTCAACGTTCTCTAGAAAACCTACTCCGATGTTATTTATAGACAACGTATGGGTGACGTCACCCAACGTTACATTACGGCCGTTAGATAACGGCACGGCTTTTTAGGAAACCTAAGCTTAAGACTTAGTGCTAAATCTTGACTGTGAATCTGAGCATTACACAATATTGATTGATAGTCTCTGTATGCCAAAAGTGAAGCCCATGAATACATTTAGCGCCAGAAGTACTTTTGCGGCCTTCTGGTAGGGTTTTTTGGAAGGCCTAAAACTATAGCTATAGTTTAAACTGTCCTTGGTTTTTTATAACATTTTAATTACACTGTATTGTTAACACATTGAATAACCAGCTGAGGCAGGAAGTTTTTTTTTAATTTTGAACTGGCGAAACATATGAATACATTAATTGATTACATATAATTTTTTTTGCCTAATCATATCCTCTAAGTAAGTACCCTTCACATAAATCCCTAACTGTCTATACACAGAGGCACACAATACTTATTACCTATTCAGTCAATAACTTACATATTCTTAAAACATATTTAAGTTATTGACAACAATAATACAGCTAGGTGTTGATGTTATAAACAACAAAATTTATTGATATTAAAGGTAATTTTTTTTTAAATTTTCCTAAGTAGCCAAGTAATTTATCTAATGTGATATAATAAAGCAAGTGTTAAGAAATTTATGATGTTATAAAAATGAGCCTATACTGCAAATAATTTTGTCTTATAAAAACGAAAATATTACACAGCACTGCAATAAATTAATAACTATTGTGTCTTAAAGCTCCATTTTATATAGCTTAACAACTTACCCAATATCAAATGAAATTTAAAATCTCAAATTAAATGAAATCATGAAATTAAGGTTATTATAAATGTAGCAAATACTTGTGGGATCATAAAAGTTTTCTCAAATGACAAAAAACTTCTGAAAGTTGACACATTAATACTTGAAACTATTCGCCTAAGTAATTATAGGCGGCTGTGAGACCTACACTGACCAGTCATTCTATTTTACAAAATCTACTAACAATTGATTTTTTAGTACAAAAATGCATTTAAACGAAATCATTGAAAGATCAATTACATCAAAAGCTTTAATTGAACATAAATGCATTTTATAAAATCAATTGTTTAGCCTCGATATATTAATATTCCTATTAAGCGACTAGAACTAAAAAACTAAAAGCAACTTAAAATTAGTCTATTTGGAGTAAACAATAAACATTACTTAAAGTCATAGGCCACTCAAAACCAAATCTGCCCTTGATTCATAAATATATACATATATATCTTAAAGGTAATACAGGTGAGCACTGGTTTTCATCAATTCAAAACAAACATGAGATTAAGTCATAATGTATATAAATTATGCTATTCCTATGTTGGTCATAATAATGTCTGATTTTCTATCAACTTTCTGGTGGTGAAAACCAATGATGTAAGGACAAGATTCAGAGACATTTTTCACTCTCTATCTATCTCTAAAATGCTCTCATACATAAAAGTGAGTTCAAATTTTAGTGTAACGACAGGTTCGGTTGCATCTAGATTATATAAACGTTTTGTTAAAATTCTTCCATGATATAAGGTTACTTTTACTTGACAGAAACTTAAGACAAGGCAGTAATGGCTTGGCGATACTTATTTATTCACGAGCCTTGTCTCTGAATTTTATCCTAATAGTACTCAAGCTAAGCTGAGTTTTGAAATAAAAACAAAAAGAAATAAAATATATATCAATGCAACAGCATGCAATAAAATTTATAGTTTTTTTAACTAATTTGTAGATTGTGCTTTGAAAATGATGTGCTATGTTGGCACAAAGGTGTTCTAAAAAATTTATTAAGTTAAATCCAAAAAATAGCATTAAGATGTTAGATTAGTAGTTGTTGTAATATACCATGTATCAGGTTTGATTAGGTTTTTTGGAGATGTGATTTATGACATCTTAATTCCAAGGATGAATATAAATGTTCACATAATTTAAATTTTTACTGTGATAAATATTGATGATTTTCTCCCGACAATATGATAATAATATTGTTGGGTTAAAAAATACCTTAATTTTGTAAAAATAAACTGCAAGTCATTTATAAATATGATATTCAAAGAGTTATAATAACTCAGTCAACCTTAGCGAATATTTGCCTGAAATTACCCTAAACAGTAATTGGGATTTATATATGAGTTAAAATGACACTACATTCAAATGATGGCATTGTGGTTCTGTATTAATAAAGAAATTTATATCTGAACCCTAATAAAATACTCCTTTTTCGACAATGGTGTATACCAACTTAAACAGGGTCAAAAACAGGCCTACTGCAACTAAAATGAGCTTAAAATTACCTTAAGGTACCATTTGGTTTCAACATTCATCACAGCATCCAAGTCACTGTAAACGTGGACGACATCTGTGACGTCACATACACATACCGAGTTTTAGGTTATCACTTATCACTTAGAACCAAAATTTCACAAGTCACTTAAGCAGCTTCTTGCGTGTCTGCGGCGTCATTGATGACGTCATCGTTCGACGTGGTCTCGACCACGTCCTCCTCGGATCAGGTGGCCCTCAACTCGACCAGTTTAACGTCCTTCACGTGCAAGTCATGCTTGGATTTGGCTGCGAATTTGATAACCGCCTGCGTTGAGACCAGTGGCACGTGTCGTAGGTCCAATCTGAAATAATTATGAAATCTTTTAATATTATTTATATAATGTCATTCGGTAATATTCTAATTATGAAATGAAATACAAACTTTTATTGGCATAAAATATGCAATATATATTTATATACTTCTTTAAGAAAATTAAAAAAATTAAATGAAAGCATTATTCTCCTAACAAAACAATTTTTTAATTGTTAAAGTACAATGTGTCCCGACCAAGGAGGTTTCAATTCAATTTAAGATCACATTATCTGTGGTGAGGTGCTGGTTCCGAGCCAATAGACCAATAACAGACTTATAATAAATAATTTGTTTCTTTTTGATATTGCATTTTATTTAATGTATTTGAGTTGTTTTATAACAACCATAAATTTTGTGTTCCATTTTGAACCGTACACTGTCATCAAATTGAATAGTTCTTACCGCTCAAGATTAGGGCAACGAGTAAGATGGTCCAATGAAGCCTCGGTCAGCAATCGACATCCGGCCAGAGACAATCGCCGAAGGCCGTGATGTGCCAACTGTGCTGCGCCAGCGTCTGTTAAACGTGCGCAGGACGAAGCATCAAGTTCTACCAGCTTTGGTAAAGCCTGAAAGATATTATGAAAATATATAATTTATTTTCAACTCTGATGGGGCAGTCGAAACTGCCTTCAAAGATTTTATTGATTCCTATACAAATGGTTTTTAGTAAAGGGATCAATGAACTACCTATAAGTTAACAAAAGTAAGGAATATACATACTTTGATTAATTAAATAAATACTATTTTAAAAAAACTACTTTTTGTTCAAATACAAATCGCCAATTTCATATGTAAGGACCTAATATTAGTTCGCATAAGCGCCATGCCGATTCTCTTTTCGCACAGACTCCAAACAATTTTCTCTTCTTTCTTTACCTGCACAACATATCGCATAGCAACATCAGTGATATCAGTTCCTGGGAGCCGCAAGACCGCAAGTGCTGCTAATCGAGACGGCTCAGTCCCCGAACGGGCACCACCCCCTGGGCGGGAGTTCTCCGGTGGGGCTAAAATGCCCCGGAGTTTCGGGTCGTCAAGGCAACGGGCGAAAGATAGATCCAGTGATGTTAAGGGTGGACACGAGCTGGATCGAAGCGCTAGGGCTGCCTCGGCAGGGGAACCAGCGAGAGATAATGATCGAAGGGCTGGGAGCCTTGCCAGTAACCTGGAATATTTAAATATGGTGTGTTATATTTTTTGCGGAACAAGTAGTACTAACCTAACGGAGAACAGTATATAATTTACGATTTTTCTCCTTCCGAACTGATTAAAAAACCTATTTATGGTATGAAAGCCTGTAACCCAAATAACAGTTGAAACTATTATTTTTAAAATTTAACTATACTCTAATGTTTCATTCCGTAGAATTCTGACATTTCATAAGTGCTACTAAAAAAGTTCTCCACCGAAAGAGGGACCAATTAGACCCATTTGAGGGCAATCAAAAATTCAATGCTACATATTTTTTTATGTTTAACCTACAAAAAAGTAAATCGAAATATTTACTAACTCAAGTGACATAATACAAAAATAACAAATATTTCAATATCACGAACAATATATAGAATTAACTTTAATTACTTTATTTTATTCTTAAGCTGGCGTCACTGCCTACTAAATCCAGGTTTAGTAAACCTTTTACAAAAATAAAATGTTAATTTTCGATACTATAAATTTAAACTAAGATTATTAATAATTATTACTTAATGTATATTTACTATGCTCGCTATGCAAAGCATTTAAATAAAAAAAGATTGTCTAAAGATGTAACTTACCAGGCAAGTTGTCGTCGTGCTAAATGGCACCACTCAAGGCCTAAAGATAAGGGCTGTCGTCGCGCAATGCCTGCTAACTGAGCGGCCGATACGCGCACTTGGACAAACGACATGCTACGCCATAGACATGGGTCCATCTGAAATATTTTGTTTATTGTATCATCTTTGCACAGAAATAAACAAAACAAATCATTTGTTTTAAAATGTTTATAAAACACCAAGTATACATAACAAAACTTTTGTGTTGAGCTCCAAATTTGTCTTTCAATAAAGCTCTCATCAAATGTACATAAAAATAAGTGATTTTTCTCAGATAAGGTAAAAAAGGATTTGTTTAAGGGAGTAAAGTACTGAAAAGTCGAAAATAATATTTACAATAACGCGTAATTCAATCCCCGCCCCGCATTGTAACGTTGTACAAAAGGAAACAAAAAAAATTCGTTACGTAAAACTTGAACGCTCCCTAACTAGAGATATTCTAAAAATTATAAACAATAAGATAAATTATATGACATTTTAACAAAGAAGTTTTTTTTTAACAATTTGACAACATATATATGAGTTAGAAAACCAGTAAGTGAATTATATTTATATGTGTGTTTCTTGCACTTCCTACAAAATATTTTTATAATTATGGCATACTAGGGTTGCCAGGATACACCGCCTGTTGCCTTCCTCGCTTATTAGTTTCCTAATAATGTTTTTGTTACTCACCGAATATTCAGCCCAGGCCTTGCATACAAGCGCACAAGTGGCTAATTCATGCGGCGTGAGTTTTGCAAAGACACTCAACATCGCGTCTCGATCCAGCCACGGAGTACCAGCCAGGTTTGATATGGAGATCGGAGCTGGGCGAACCGGATATAAGGGTTTCTTTAGGGGCTGGAATAGTGAGGTACAATTTAATATAAAATATGCCGGAATTTGAAAAGATATTCACACATTCAAATATTTCTCTTTTCCCGACATTTTCATGAAATTAATAAAGCGTTTTATTGATTTTTAAGGTTTATAGTTTAACATCCTTATTAAAAAAAATCTAATCGCACTTTTCAATATTATATGTATTTCCATAGCCCCATACTAATATAAAGGTAATGCATAGGTACCTTCGCGGAGTGGTGAGTAAGCTGCAAAGCCAAATGCGCCCTCAAAGCCTGTTTCTTCGGTGCCTCATCTTCATCACTGGCTCGTCGCCTCTTGCTGTTTGGTTCCCAGTCCTCACCCCTATCAGCACTATCGCCTGCTTCTTTGACTTCGTCGTCTTGTTTCACGTCTTAAAATAATAATAAATATTTTGTTAGATATAGTACACATTGTAATTTAATATATTTGACATTAAACAACGTATTCAAAAAAAATACTTTGTTTTTTTTTTAAACAGTACTACTTTTAAGGGGTTAGAAAAATATAGTCCTATATCAGTCATATGTATTTTCTAATACAATCACCATTCAAACTTTTTCACAACCAATATTTATAATTAATTAATAAATATATATTAAACAATAAAGAGTAGCACTAGTAAAACGAGGGACCAGATACTGTTTGACACCCGAAAGCCAAAAGGCTTCAATCTTATACATATTAAAAAATTTAATCAAATCGAAATAAACTTATTAAATTTCCAATTAAGGAAAGTAATTATAAAAACAGGATAAAAAGGAGACAATTATATCTAAAGCCCTTCTGCAATTATCTTGTACTTCAGAAGCAGATTTTCAAAATCATATTTATAATTGTGTTATGTCTTATGCTAACATTAAAATTAAATTTTATAAAATTCAGCTGAGGTACAAACCCATTTCAGTTTTAATTGGCATATCACCCTTATTCTCAGCATCAGAAGTGGCTTCAGTCTTCACCGACATTGATGATGGAGGAGGTAATTTATTCTGAAAAGTTTTGTCAAGTAGAAAATTAACAATATCACAACTACTACTTATATTTATAATATTAATTTATATAAAGAATATCAACCGAGCTTTATAATAAGAAAATGTAAAATATCGATAAAGTAATTAATGTTCGTATCATATAGAACTTTAGTAATAAAAAATATGTCTCATATCATCTAATATTTGTTTCAGTTAAAAATCTGGGAATTGCACCGGAACAATTTGCTAGTTTCTTCACAAAAACCTATGACTAACCGATAGTAATAATGATGTTTACATGACTGAATTCTCGTACATTGTAGTTGCGTTTATTACATTGTTTTTATAATATACTAGGAGACCCAACAGACGTTCTCCTGTATACACTTCTTAAAAACAAAAAAAACATTTAATTGTAAATCTAAACCATTCTCGAATAAAAAAAATCAGTGGCACTACACCTCTTTAGGTCTTGGCCTCAGATTTCTGAATCTGTTTTATAATGATTTTTAAATCTAATAGATATAATAAATTCTCGCGTACACACGAACAAAAACGAAAAATTTCATCAATATTGGTCCAGTTGGTTAGGAGTTTAATTACAAACACACGCACAGAATATTTATATATGTAAAGATAAAGTATTGTTAAACATAACAATAAAGTAATTTCAGTACTTACTTGTAAATTCTGACTGAGTTGGCTGGCGTCGGAGCTAACACTCATACGACGAAGATCGGAAGATTTCTGACGGGCACGGAAATGGCGCGGCTGAAATTATAATTTAAATAGTTCAATGAAGTATATTGTGTGAATATTCTTAATTCTATGCTTAAATTTAACCTTCAATTTTCAACCGGGAATCAAATTAGAGACCTCGGATTAACGCCATTTGTGTTAACCACTTAGCCACGGAGGTTATTCTACTCATAGAAAATATAAATTTCCTTCAAACCAACTTTTTTATAAACACAATTGCATATTGCAATTTATTTTTAAATGTCTAACTAAATCTACTTAATATAACAGGTAGGTGAACCTTTCTTGAGCCCACAAAACTATATATTGTTTGTGTGAAAAACAACTATTATTTTATATGTTTTTTTGTGTAAATCATATATTCATACAAACCTTGTAGTCATGGTTAAGTCCCATAGTAGTACAAGTGGGACACTCCCAGGAGTTAGGCAAGTCTTCATTCAACTGTCCTCCAGCTGGCACACAGGTTTCATGTACTATGCTGTAGCATACTGAGCATTCACGAAGTAATGAAGAACCGTTTCGACCTGCAAAACAATATTTTTTATTAACTCATTAACATATCATTATCAACAATATTTTTTATCATTATCCATTCGAATTCTAGAACAAATTATTATTTTCATTTAACTTTTAATGATCTGAAATAATTGTATTATATTTGAAACGTTAGTAGTGGGTTATCTCAATCATGAAAGATTTATTTAAATAATTGCAAATTTGTCTCATTATAAGAATTGATCTGAATTCTAACCAAATAATTTTGTCCTAATTTAAAGTATATATTGATATAATTACCAGCATTTCCTTTAGCCTGAGGTGCAACCGGAGTTTGCATCCATCCATCCAAGTGACAAACGGCACAAGATGCTGTGACAGGCAACATTGGCTGGAAACCAAAATTGAAGTATATCAAATTATGTTTAGGGTTAAACCGGTCATAATTCCAAGATTTATTAATGACCTACTGGAGTTTTTTATGAAAAACTTATCCTAGTGGGATATTATACAGGAACTCCATTGACTATAAGCCGTGTGATTTTGAAGCCACAAACATTGTTTTTTTTTAGTTTGTTTTGAAAATAAATGAACTACAACATACAATAATGTAAATATTATATTTATATGTTAAATCTGAAACAGTAATTTCTTCGCAGTATTCACTTCTCACAATTTGGGATTGTTCGCTTGTTACATGTTATAATTACTTTACAACAAATACCTAATAAATGTATTTAATAGTTAAAAAATAATATTATATATACCTGTAAGCACTGCCTCATAACACAAGTCTGTTTAGCTCGACCCATCCCTCCGAATTTGACCATATCATGACAGAACACACATTCACCGCAGTCTGTACGCTGACAAGCTTCACATTTCTTACACCTGAAAATGTTATGTAATTTTATTTAGCATATAAAATCGTTCGGGTAATATAATATATGTAGGATTATAAATAAACTTATAAACAAAATTATATTTTGTTGTTGTATTAAGATGATAACAATTTTAACAAAAACATTAATCATATTAAGTTTGCTGGTTAGTGTCAAAACCAAAAAATGTCTTTAAGCTATTGTATTGATATATCGATTATGGATTAAATAAACCCTTACAATGAAAATAATGTTTAGAAAAGTAAAAAGATTGTACCTGGTTCGGCGTCGCCTAGGTGCGTTATTGGCATGTTCGGGACGTGGTCTGGCGGGACCACCGCGATGCCCACCACGCCCTCTACCGCCACCCCATTGGCGAATCCTTTCACCGCCAGCGTCATCTGGACCTATGTAAAAAATATTTAAAACTGTCTGTATGCCAATATAATATATATGTACTACGTAAAAGAAATAAATGTTCAACTCTCATAATATGTATTGATTGATTGATTGATTTGTACCAGGGCATTATTATAATTAGTAGAGGTTGTGATTAAATTTATTACGAAAAATAGAGTGCTATTAAGAGTAATCTGCATGAAGCGACTTTAATAAGCGTTATTGAATAAAATAACTTGTCCATAAATATTTATTTATCAAACAATCTATAATTAGAACCATTAGTCTGCCTAATCCTAATACTGACTTTGATCTTAATATAATGTGGTTTTGTGTAATTTAAGAATCATAATTAACACGTAAAAACTTGAAATTGTTTACGTGTTTACAGACATGGTACGTCAAAGCGGTGCGACGCCATTTTGCCTAGAGATGCATTTTGGCGGGTTGTTAAAATTGTGAATGTTTAATTTGAATTTTTAAAGCCAATACTTAAAATTATTTAAAATAACAATTTTTATAGACTCTATAGTGACTAATAATTTAGAAAAATTCTATAGTTTATACAATTTTGTAAAAAGTCCATTTAAAAGAGGTAGAACAGATAAACAGGTTTCCAGAAAAACGTGTGTTCAACTGAGATGTTATGGCAGATACAATGTAGTTACTAACTAACCTTTCAATATGGGCTGTCCAGTAATCGCAAGTTGTTGTTTATCATGACGATGTTGTTCCACCAAGGTCCGCACATCCCGAACCAATGCTATGGGATCGCTGAGTAATTCGGGAACTGATTTACGTGCGGCAGGCAATTGATGCAGATATAGTACTATTTCCTGTAATAAAAAATATTATGCATTTTTATTTTGTTTTACTAGACGACTAGACTAGACTACTAATCATAGGATAAGACAATGTAATGAATCGTCGTAGGTAAAACTATATTGTAAATAACGTCAATATAATTTTGACAATATGTTGATAAAGTATGAATTTAAAAAAGGTTATGTAGTTGGTGGCTATGGCTATGAAAATAAATCAATGAACACAAGCAAGATTATTCATATAAAGATCAATAAAATCCATTTTCCTTGTAAAGTTTGATAACCAACATTTTAACTAAATTCTAGATTTGATTACCAGGAAAACCTATATCTTTATTATGTGAAAATCTTTTCTACATGACTTTTAAATAAAATAAAAATACATAAAGCATTTTAAATAAACATTTAAATGTAGGGTGTATTTCAAGCTCATTAATTTATGTTACCTTTAATCCGTGCAGCTCATTTTGAGTAAGATGTATATGTTCCTTAGGAGCCGTTGGAGGTGGGTTTTGACCCTCAGGAGCAAGATGAGACCGGCCGAGTAACGCACACACATAGCGATCTAACACATACCATAGCATTTCCGTAAAGAATGGATAACGGAATTTTTGTGGCACCTGGAAAAATATATAACATATTTAAAGAAATTTTATTTCTTTGTTTTCGCATTCTGTGGAAGTTGAAGTTGACACAATGTGTCATGACAGTTAAGATATTTAAACAGAATATTAGCGGTTCACTAATTTATATGTTACATGTAAATAGTAAAGAAATAAGGGAATATTAGTTAATAAGATTTAATTGTCGTTTCTTATTTCAGGTATGTCTTAGTTATAAATAAGTTTTAATAATGTAATATTAACGCCATCTATTGCCACAAACTTGTAATTGGCATTTTAACAAAAATATTTATGTGTCAAATTAGTTTTAATTAAAGACGATAATAGTAATGGTAGTCATTAGTTTTAGATTCGACTACAAGTGAGACAGATATAAATAATAATAAATATACAACATTGTAATAACATTTTGTCTATTACTCTACAATGACAAACCAAACCAATATAATATAAAACAAATACAAACCAAACAATGATCAGATATTTAATTATGTTTTTATTCAGACATATTTTATCATGCACAAATTGAAAGTAATCTTAACTTAAGATTAATTCTTGTTTAGAGTTACAACCATGTAACAATATATTCCCAAATATGGGTCAATGGAATTAGATTACACATCAAAACTATAAGAAAAGCTTTCTGTGCCACCTGAGGACTTCCGGATTACACGTTTGTACGTCATTTCCATAAATAAAGGGGATAACTAGACTAGGGTAATTACACAATCATACCTTAGTAACATCTTCGACTTGGGCGATTTTAAGCTGTTTTTCTATACCAAACTGATGAAGAAAGTTACCCCCGAAGACCAGAGAGTCACTTGGTGTGTATACAGCGTGTATCCAACCAGTCGGTATGAAGAATGTATGCCCCGCTTGTAACTAAAATAATAAGACCAATAGTTAGTTTTGTTTGTATGTACAGAATGTAGAATTCCTAAATTTAACCAGAATTGTGAAATAACTACAAATAAAGTTAAAAAAACTATAAAAACTATGAACACAAATATCTTTTAAATTTAATATAGAAAGCTCAAAGTTCACGTATTTAGGTGGAAACTGACCAACGTTACGAGGTGTAATGTAACACGTTACACAGCGAGCATTCGTGCAATCAGAACGTCGTGTTACGGGGAAACTTAGAGTGCTCCACCCGGCTGTCGGTTTTTCGGCGAATCCTTTGACTGTTACGCGGTTCAGTCAGTACGCGTCGCAGGTCGCGAGTGATCATGATTATGATTCTTAATTTGGATGAAACAATAATTAAGTAGAATCAAAGATACCACGCGTCCTGGCTGTCGGCCATCTCGTGAACACTGGCGGCGAAAGCGGAGCACAGAGTTTTGACGAGCATGTTACGCCGATTTTAAAACACAGCGTAACACGCTCGATGCGAATGCTACATTACACCTCGTATAGGTAGCGGCACGTAAGTCTAGCGCTGGCCGATACGTGGAGGGGATTGCTGCGCATGTGTACTGTCGCGCGGTGGACGGAATGAGACTGGAGAGCCAATCGAAACTCTTCATTCCGCTAGCCCCCCTCAGGTACCTTATTTTTTACTTCAGCGCAATAACGGTCAGCGCTAGAGTTTCGTGCCGCTACTTGTAACTTTGGTCAGTTCCCACCTTTTTTTTAACATATTTATCAGTGTGTCAATTGTTTATGATGAGTTGCGTATCTTGTTGTGTCAGTGTATTTCAATCCAAATATATTATTGTGTTGTAGGAAATAGACCCAGTACCCAAATCATTGAATAAACTTGATTGGAGTCAGTAGACATGGGTCTCAAAATCTTATTGCTTTTTCACTTACATGAACCCGTATACACTTTTCAACTGTGTCACCGAAGAAGACATCAGATTGTTTTCCAGACAACACCCACTTCTCATATAACTGAAGGTTGCGTTCTGTCGGTGGAATTAGCCAGAATACTTTTGCACCTGTAACAAATAAAAATCTTATTAATAATCATTAATCATATGTTTTGATAAGGTAAATGTAATGTTTGCGTAAGTTGCTACTTCGAAGGAAATTAATAATAATTCAATAAAAAAAAATATTCTTATTGATATCGCAGGTCACAACTCTCGTCTTGAGCGCTGTCAGTTGTCACATATGTCAAACTTGATACGGAAAGAATGGTTTGAAAGAATCTGATGGATATACATACTTTATTATCAAAAGTTCTTATAATAATTATATTGTATGCACTTATGAAATTGCTAGTTATTTTTGGTATTTGTGTGTTATTAATTTTAATCTAATATATACAATTCTCGTGTCGCGGTAGTAGTTAAACTCCTCCGAACGGCTTGACCGATTCTCATGAAATTTTGTCTGCATATTGGGTATGTCTGAGAATCGGACAACATCTATTTTTTATCTCCCTAAATGTTAAGGGTATTCCACCCCTAAGTTATATTTTTTTTTAATTTTTAGAATTTTTTTTTATGAGACAGCATTAAAAATACACACAACCCCTAATTTTCACCCCTCTACGATCAACCCCTATTTTTTATTATAAATAATATACGTGGCAAAACGACGTTTGCCAGGTCAGCTGGTAATAATTATAAAACTTTAATATGTAATGAGAAATAATAAATTAAACTTTTGGCTTAAAGAAACTATCAATTAAAGATTGCTTCGTTTCTTTCTGCTTGCTATCAGACAGATCTTTGTAACACTGATAGGCTGCACAAATTTTGTTATTAACATTGAAACTTCTCTCAAAACTGGTATCATTTTCTTCAAAAATTTTCATGGCATTCTTAAAATTTGCACAAGACAAGTGAATACTCCTATGCCGGAAATCGAAACAAATGACGTATACTTGAAGAATAGTGTCAAAACATTGTTCGACGTAACTTGAAACGACGAGTCGAGGACTGCCTATATTCCTTCTCAAACCTTATAAATAAGGAAATAAGCCACTTAACCAATATAAATGAATGAAAGGAACAGATATCGTTTAGAGATTGGTAGAGATATAAAAATACTAACCTCGCAGTATATGATACCAAACAGATGTCCCGCCAAAGTCAATATGGAAGTCCGTGTAACAGCCCTTCACGGACATCAGACAATACTTTTGTACTTTGGGATACATCATGTCGTCCAAGGCGTTTGTTGACTCCGTCTGTAATTATTTATTGAAGTTATACTTTTTAGGCGCGGTATGAAAAATTTATGAGAGTGAAATTTTACGATGCGCGCGCACCGTGACACAAAATTAACAGAATGAAGTTGCCCACGGAAGATGCTACGGCATTGGACATAATTTAAAAACAACATTCGAATAATAATATAATTTATGTTACACTTAATGTAAGAGAATAATAATAAATATTTACTTATTAAATTTTTTAAATGTAAACTGAACTTTATTGACTATAATGACTCCTTTTCCAGTCTTTGATTATTTAATTGTAATTAATTATTTGCATGCAATCAAAAACTATTTTTAATAATGCCAAAAAAGTATAACTTCTTACGCGCGTACATAAGTACACGCACCCTTTCTTTTTAAATTAAAACTAGCTCTCCCCTGCGGTTTTGGCCGCGTTAAATGGGTCGTAGTATCATATTATAATAGTCCTGTCTTTTTCTTCATTAATAAATACTATCAGCACAAAAATAACAATCAAAACCCATTTTTTCTGATTTTTACTAATTCTACTGACATAGATCTTAAGAAACTATTGTTACTAACTTACTAATCAATCAATGGACTGTATTTGTCTGGTGGATAAAATTATTATTATTATTATATTTTTTATGTCCTTCCATGGACACTCCACAATCATGTACCAATCAGAAAACAATGTCAGAAAGCTCGCAAGTGCGTTGCCGGCCTTTTAATTGTACACTCTTTTCTCTCAACATTGAGGGAAACAAGGGAAATAACTTGTCCCCTTTTTACAACTTTTATTTTTGATACTCCGCTTCCATTGATCGTAGCGAGATAGATATATACTCGTTTATAAGTGTAGATAATACTGTGACGACGATTTGGGTCATTACGGCAGCTCATAGACATCTGATGGATGATTAACCGGCCTTTGTGAAGATGCTATCTTAGAAATAACTTCGAGAAGAAAAATAAAATTACTTATAAGTGAAATATGTATGTTGTTGTGATTTTCTCGTACTACGCATTTAAAAACAACGATATTTATCGCGTTATTAACATAAATTTATATTTCAAGGTCTTTTCAGGACTTGTGGTCAGCGAGGGAGTTTTATCTCTATTTATTGGAACTGTGAATTGGCTGACATCAAGATTTATAATGGTTTCAGCCGAGACCAAATGCAAATAATTTATCCTTTTAACAAACAGTCACCGGAATACTACAATTTGTTAACATAGTTCCCGAATTCGATTCCCAGAAAATCATTGTTTCATGTAGGTTAGCTGATAGCCATGTAAGCCACGTTCAGACCTTCTAAACTCAAATCTATTTTCATAAACTGTCAAATATTAATTTCTACACATATACATTTAATTGGAATACAGCTCAGAGAATGACCACTCTGGTTATAATGTAATTAAATTTTCCAAATCTAACAAATAAAAAATTACCAACAAGAAGTGTTTAGTATTCTTATGTTATCTAAATAAATGTTTAATTATTTTTAATTGATTTTTTTTTAATTTCTTAACACATTAAAACGCAAAAAATATCAAACCTAGAATTCCTGAGAAAACCAATTATATATATATAAAATGCAAGGATCCATCGATCTAAACATTGGAATTAATTAGTTTTCATGTCTGTAACAGGTTAGGTTTTTTCTTACACCAATTAAATAATCAAAAACGACTCAAAGGATGGCCAATGACCCATAACCTACCTGTTGGTCCTTCAAATGTCTCGGCCATACAGTCTCGACCCAGTCAATAAGGCGTACTATACGGGGAGCTTGTACATAGTTCTCTAGACGCGTGTGAGAAAACTCTAGGGAAATCACGTTCAAAAGACGCTCTTTGTTTGGGTCGTCATAGTAACGTTGCCAGTCCTGAAATAAGAAGTAAAAATATAGCCATGTATAAGTATGGATTATGTAAATAAAATGGTGAATATATCGTCTGATATTAAAGTTGTTTACTGCAATATTGCATTTATATTTGGAATACGCTTAGCATAAGATGAAATATATGTATAACCGTGAACTACACTCCCATATTTTAAATTGTATAAGGACTTATTCTAGATACGAGAGTCGAATTGTCTTTAAATATTTGCCTATAACTGTTTTTTAATTCCGTAGAATTCTGACATTTCATAAATGTTGCTACTAAAAAAGTTCTCCACAGAAAAAGGGAAAAATTTTACCAGTAAAATAAAATGTTTTTATGTTTTATCTACAAAAAAGTAAATCTTAATATTTACTTACTTAAGGGACCTAATACAAAAATAACAAATATTTCAATATCACGAACAATGTATCGAATTAACATTAATTACTTTATTTTATTATTTAGCTGGCATCACTGCCTACCAATTCCTGGTTTAGTAAACCTTTAAAAAAATGTTATCTTCACTTGTGCGTTTTTTAGTGTTTGTGATGAAAAGGGACGTTATTATCAGTCGCAGTAAAACCACTTTTAATGTTGAGCACCGCACTTAATAGAATGGATCCATTCACTAACAAAACTTCACTAACTTATCATCACTAACAAAATAAAATGTTTGTATAGAGTCAGATGTTGACTCGTATTGAAATTGATAAATGTGCCCGGCCAAAAAGGTTTGTAATCTCTGTCATGTTAAAAAATGATAGCTAGATAGAGTCTGTATCAACTATGATCACCATAGGCCTTAGACAGATATTTCTGGCAGGTATGGCATGCTACCCATGATAATTATTTAACAATTATACCAGGCGACTTTATTCTAGATAAGAGAGTTTGGTTGTCTATGATTTTCGCATAATCAGTGTCAACAATTATTACCACAGACATCCTTGGCAGGTGAGACATGCTAACCATAATTGTTTAACCATTAATGAAAGGGTGATTTAACATAACGTAATATTATGTAGTTATTCCTTGCGATAGCGGGTCACGCCTGCCAAAATGTTTCTGTTTTGGCTGCAGATAAGTATCATGCCACAGACTACGGCAGGGTTAGGTACTATGTCAGGTCTAATTATCAAAGATTAACGTTAGCGACCTAATTTAACTATTCCCTTAAAAAATTGTATTGAAAATAATCTTTTTTTTCCAACAAGTTCATCAATGTTGGTATATAACCAACGTCGTAATGAATGAAATAATATAACCTTTAGTTAATCCATTATGACATTGGTTCATAAACAAAAACACCTACATTTCTACTATGAAAACTATGGCAAACACATATACACCTGTACTACGTTAAGTAATAACTCAAAACATATAAATATATTTCCCGTACCGTTTAGGGAAATCTTTTATAGCCGTTTGATCACTTAACATAATACATGCACGCGTAGTGTTTCAATACAAAATAACAAGCTATTATGTCTCATAGCTTTAGTTTCCTTAAGTACATATTTTTTAGTGCATTAAGGTTCACTAAACTTGCTAAAATCTTACAAATACAGTATGTCCTATCCATTGTCTCTTATGAACAAATCTTCATATGATATGTTACCAAATTATAGACCCCAGTGTAAGTCGACCCGTGACCATGCCTGCTCTAAATCATGCGAAACGACACACTATCATGATTTACTAATTTAAACTAAGTTATGTTTGAGTATCGGTTTATTTGCAACAAATAAACTTTAAATAATTTACACTGCTCAAACTACCAGTTCCTAAATGCAAAAGTCCGAATTTTAAGCAAGGTCGTAAGTTCTTTTCTTATTTCTCAAAGGGTGTAAAACAAAACATGAAACAATACCATGGAGTGTTCTTTTAATTAGTCAACGGCATATTTTATATGATATAAATTTACACTTAAATGGCTGTCCTTCGGTTATTACTCAAATAATTATATTCACTTAGTGAGAAATTTTAGAGTAGCTTAGTAATGTACATCGTGTTATTAAACTATTTAAAAATAAGCTAAATAAAATAAAAATATTAGTTGCTACAATCATGTACAATATTTTTTTAATTGTATGTAAGTTTTGTCTCGCTTATGTAAGCTAAGCTTACAAGGGCTTACTAGGAGTCTATAATGTGAAGCGACCATAAATAAATAAACCAATTCCGACTTTAATATGGACAATTGCGTCGTTTACCTTCATAGTCATTTCGATGTTCTTCTGTGTATTTACATCCATAACGTCGAGGAGGCGTCGCGATCCAACGCACATGCGTACATCGTTCACCGTAAAATTGCTTGTCGGCACTCTGCGAACAGACACCAAAGTGAGACCACGTCGCCTCATGCTCAAACTTTGTTAGGCACGAGTAAAGGTATTAAAAATGGCAACGAACAATGAATAAAAAGCCCAAACAAATGGGCTAAGATACAATATTATGCTTTAATCTTCAAATGAATTTGTATAGCTCAATAGAAATGATTCAAAAGAGTTCTTATACTTTTGTGTAAAATTTCGGTAGTTGCATTTAATATAGCACTACAGATGTTTTAGTTAAACAGAAAATAGAAAGATATCGGATTGTATATACATATTTATTTGCTATTTAAATTAAAATTAAACTTATGGTCTGAGGTTGCTGTAGCATAAATGCTGCTATATATGTTAACTCACATAGTTTTACATTCATCTGCCCTTTGTGGAAATATAATAATACAATGTAAATGCTTATACAGGTGCAAGTTATGCATAGTTGAAATATTGATCGTCTCTTGACGAATTGTCGACGTAGGGTATGAAACTGTCACAAGTCGCAACAACAAAGTGCGCTAAAAGCCATCTAATTGCTTTGTTTGCTTTGTACTTAATACGATATTTTTAAAGGCACAAGCCAAGGTTCGTAATAATTTCGTAATTTATTAACGATATCAATATAAATAATTCTAACGTTTAAGTAGCTAATGAGCTTCACATTACTTCCACTTCTAATAATTTTGTATATATATTATGTCATGAATATTGCTTGCGATATGCGATAAAGCAGCGTTCATTAATTTTAAATTCATATTTAAATGTACATAAATAGTTTTTAAAACATAATATTGGTTAAATGAAAGGGTTGTTGTGTTTTTGTAAATACCACCACAGAGAGATTTTAGGATAGCAATTCGATTCAAAGTTGAGACTAAAACAGACTCCCATACAAAATTGTATTCGATTTTGATATACGGGAGTCATTCTTCTCAACTAGAATCTAACGCTAATGGTGCCAAAGGCACTGAAAAACTACAACCTACACACCATCTCTCAACGTAAGCCCCTACATAAAGTCCTGTTGATAGCTTTTCAGTGCAAAGTTCAAAGCGTGGGTGGTTGAGTGGGAGTAAGATGTAATAGGCACAAAGGTTTGCTGGTAATAAGTAGCTCCCTCCGTCTACAAATGCAACCAATTACATAGTTATTTATACCAAAGATTTTTTTTTACACTGGAAAGAAAGAAGGAATACTTAAGATTTTTTGGACTTATATGAATATAATGTAATGGATATAAAATATAACGGATTTGAAAATGCAACTACACTGTACTGATCTAGGTTAGGTTAGGTATTAATTAGGGACCCTTTTAACCTTCTTCAAAAATGGAGGATATATGGTATACATTTCATTGAGATTTTAAGAGTCGTTTTTCGAAAATGTTCGAAAGCTTATGTCTTTCAATGTAATAGATTATTTGTCAAATGGGATATCTTTATATCTATGACCGTAGCTTACATTTGGTGTTTAACCGCCCGCTGGCTTAAGTTGATGTGATTGATTAGTATATTTAAGCAACAGTGTTAAAATAAACACTTTGGCAATAGAACCCGTGTAATAACAAAATATTAGGGATGTTATGACGTCATCTCATTTTGACAATAAATCTATGCCGATTTAGCGGTTAAAGTGTAACACACCTCCGCATTAATAAAGGATGCTATTTAAGATATTTCCTCAGTGCCATATTATTGTCTCAATGCAGAGAATTATGACGTTATGTAATGTGTTTAGCTCACTGAATACTAACAGTAATTTTGTAGCTTTAGACATATACCTCATTGATATTTCTTTATAACCTAATTTCTGTGTCTCTTTCAACCCAAAACAAATATTGTTTAGGGAATGGAACACAGAACAACTAGGTTTCCCTATTGCAAACTAAGCCACAGAAGTGGTAGTAGAAAGAATATTTAGAAATTATACTAGACTCCCTAGGATAATTGATAGGTATTCATACTTTTACAACAATAGTAGAGACTACATCGGATAATTATGAATTAAGAACACACATTTTAATAAACATAGACAACAAAAGAACATGTTACCTAATTTGAGCATCAGATAATACATAAATTCAAGCCGTTTCAATAACAGACATTTAATTTTAGCCTACCACTAGTGCAATAAACACAAAAAGAAAAAGAAAAAAAGGATCCTTATGAAAGATCATTCGAGCGGTATTATTTATTTAACACTATTGATATCTCATCATAAACATAGCAATTGATTTAAGTTTCTACATCTAAGTGATGATCAAAAATCTAAATCAAATGTTAAGTCACTGATACTTGTGATATCTACATTTTACACTTAGATATCATTAAGTATTGATAATAAAGTTTAAATAAATTGCCAATCTAATCTATTATTATAGACTTTACAATAATACATACCTTAGGCCTAATCCTGCTTTATCTTTGAAAAGAAGCGGAGTTGTGAATCCATGCTTTTGGAGATATGTTATTGTTAGATCAGAGCCCTGCATATCCAAAACATCCCCGGAATGTTCAAATCTTGAACTATCCAGTTTATCAGCCAGGGAAAATCCCCGGCCACCCTCAGCTTCATCATCACCAAGGGCCCACTCATCAGAATAAAGTTTTCGCTGCTTGCGTTCACGCTATATAAAAGGATATCCAATTATGTTATTGTGTGAAAACTAAATAAATACTCTTCTTGAAGTATTATTAATACTAATTTCGTGAAGTAACCTTTTAGTTTCTAGCACGAAAGCGCTTGCTAACAAATAAATTTTGAAGAGTAAGCATTCATATGGATCGTTATTAACGGCCACTCAAGGCCAAGTAGAGCAAGTGTAATGCATATAGAAATAAATAGGAAAGGATAGTTTAGCGATCTAACTTTCGTACACGGCGCTTTGCCTTCGTAAATAACAAAGAGTTTATTCATGCGGTAAAACGAGTTTTCAATAAAATTGTGATCAGTCATCGACTAATAATTGTTACAATGTTTTTGCCAAGAGTCTTGTGTCCGATATGTAATTGTGCGAAAGATCATACAGTCTTAAACTAGATTACGAGGCGAGTCGCAGGTTTACTCGTACTTTCATAGTTCGGACTCGACGTGTGGTCGACGTACGACGTACGGCGCACGCCCCAGGCCGCCTGCTAAAAGCGAGGAAACGCCTTCGTCCCTACCAGATGCCTGCTCAGTTTGCTGAAATGAGGACGTCGATGCCGCTCACAGCATATCGCTCATTGTCATATTATTCGCAATGCCGCGATCTCCGTAACTATTATAGATTTTGACACCCATCCGCATGCGCGAATGCATACGGCCGCCGCGTTTTGAACTCGTAACGTGATCGCAAAAACTCCTTCAGTTGATCCGGACCGAAATTAATGAATTCTAAATAAATTCCCCATGAAACATTTTATTTATCACTCTCATGACTTACATAAATCGATACACAATGCAGCGATGCACCATTTCGTGTTTACGTGATCCCAGATAAAGCCACCATGGCGTCACCCGGGACTAAATACGTAAAAACTAACAATAAAAACTTACCAGCTGCCGTGGAACTTGCTTCTTATTATTCGGCAGTGTTTCCGACATGTTCATATAAGCCAGAAACACTGCACCACAAAATGAACACTATTTTACGTAAATATTTTACACGGAGCACGAGAAAAAGCAACGCAATCCACCATTTGCCACACACGTCACTGCTGGCAACAACGAAAAAACTGATCATTCCGGCTACGTTCTGTAGGTTGGCACTTCTTGCAGTATGCGATTGGTTTATTTCGACCGAAAGATAAGCAGCGGGAAACTCAAAAGATAAATATTTGGTTAATTTTCCGACGAATATGAGTTAATCAAAGTTATAGAAATGTTGTACGTAACAATGATTATTTTTATTTGTTACCTAGGTTTAATCTTTAATACTATATAATATAATCTACTGGAGATTATCTAAATAATAGTAATATTAAAGTTCCTTCATAATGTTGTAATGTAATGTAATTAGTTCAGTTAATTTTACATGAATTAAGGTTAGTTTAGAAAATGAAATATACATTAAGTTAGCATATTTTGACAAAAATTATAATTGACTTATTAAAGAGTTTATACATTTCTAAGATTAATGTCTATTCAGTATAATTTGTCGGCACCTCCATTAATTGATTATTATAATCGTTTTTATTATGATAAGGGCCTTTAAGAGCAATACACGTGTACATTGATTTAGGCGCCATCTCGTGAGTATTTTTTGTAAATAACATTTTACATTCAATCATTTACAAATTCCAATTACTACTAATGTAGTCATTTTGATGATTGTCTTGCTAATAAGTTACGTGTAATTATCAAATGTCAGACTAATTTTGAAGTCAGTCAAGTCAGAATCTGTAGAATAAATTATTCTATATTAACCTAATACCATGCAATGTTTTTGTTTGTGGACCGTAAATATTACATAGCTTGTTGTAGTTGGTCGAGTATGTCTGTGGATTACACAAATATTTAAATTATTAATTCAATATGGAGTAACTAAAAGTAAAAGTAACTAAGCACTGAACTTTTTGCATACCTAAATACAGTCATGCTATTGATACAAAATGTTTGTCTCAATCTTTTACCTTAATATCCTTCAATGTAATGTTATAATATGCTTATTGTAGCTCAAGTGTTGGATAAGAAATAGTCTCTATGGAATAAAAATATAATGGATTTTATTTTATTCGGATTAATATATTCACACGAACTAAATTAGGCAATGATTCAGTGGGGAGCCTCGGGACTAAGCTCTAAAATTGACTACCGCAGGTGAAAATATTTTGTATTTGACAAATGGAAGTCTTACTTAGCGCTAAGTCGCGATTCTGGATTTTATATCTTATATCTGGTAACTATGTGCGCGACTTTCAACTCGGGTCATATATCTGAAGCCCGGATGTGCTAAATAAATGTAATTAACCTATGTGAGGCACAAAAGACTACCTATTATTACCTTCGTCTATAAAAATAATGAAACTATATGTAATCTGAAGACAAGACCAAACAACAATGTAAGAAGTTTTCCAATCGCTGGCGCCTGGTTAAAAGATATGGAATTCTCGTAGTAATTCTATATTGCTCTTTTGTTTTTTTATTTCGATTAATATTCAAACAATTGGGTTTTTCTATGTTTATATTTCAACTATATTATATTTTAGAGGCCATTCTCGGCTCCGCACGGCTTGATTTTTATTTTATTAAATATGTGGTTAGATATCTGACTTTGATGACCAATAAAAATAAACATTGATGACTTTTATAGAACTGGGGCCTTCTGGGTAGAAAGTCAAAAACTAATTTTGTATGAAGACTTTTCTACACGAACTATCATTTCCATACAAATTTAGTTTACGACTTTCTACATACACTACTGTTAAGGCATCTTGACTAAGGCCCCTGTATTACGTCACTTTGGTCTATTGTTCATAGTTTTCGATATAAGCAATTCATAGTTTTGAGCTTATTTTAAATTATAAAATAATTTAAATTAATAATATTTTAAAAAATTATAATCTATAGCCCATATAATACATACAAACATACAATCAAATCTTACAATATTAGTGTATATTATTTTTTTAAACTGGCAACACCTTAGTGTCGCAAAAGGAATCCAACAAGTGCAGTTATTTTAGTAATTGTACCAACTGCTTTAATAAACTTCTTTTCGTAGTTAATACTTATACATATTATAATCATTTACCCTTTCGTTATAACATGTGAAAAAAACAACAAAAATTCCGCTCAAATGTATTTACTTAGTAATAAAAATAAATTTTGTACGTTTGATTAATTAGCACAGAGAACTAAAATTATTAATTAATATGTTTCATAATTAACTCACAATAGTATTTGGAAATCAGCTAGACATGATTAATAAAATTAATTTACTGAAACAATATAACGTACTTATTAAAAATTAAATGCTCCTCAAATTAATTGTATAATACTTTAAAACTGGATCGTCTATCATGAATTCACTGTCCGTCATTCCATTGTGCTCCATAAACTGCGTGTCACGCTGCAGCCAATCTAAATACAGCCTTAAGTATCTGTCATCAGGTTCCAAATCCGTGTGTCCCAAGCACAGCATTCTATATGCATCCTCGCCGTACTTCCCGATACCGCATAAGTCGCTTGCCCGCCGCCATTTTGACGAGACGAACTGATAACTCAATTTCCAAATCATGTCACCACGTTTCCGTAGACCTAACTTATCGAAATATCTCTCTAAAGATGTCGGGTTATCATTTAATACGTGATACGGCGTTGGGTAAAGCCCCGTATTCATGGGAAACATTTGTTGAGCAACAAAGTTGAATCAACGTGTTGCGGAGTTGCTGTCAACATGTTGCTGGCAACACTGCGTGTTGCAGAGTTGACAGCATCATGTTGACAAGCTCTCGCCCGACAAGCGTAAACATCAGTTTAGCGACAATTGTTGACGTGTGTGGACGAGTTTGCAACAGTTTATAAACATGGCAGTAGTGTGGAGCAATGATAAAATAATGCAATTAATAGAATTATTTCAATCAAAACCATTATTATGGGATTGTTCTATAAAACAATACAAAGATAGAAACAAAAAGAACGATGCATTCGAAGAAATTTCTCAAGTCCTAAATATACCCAAAAAAGACGTAGAAACTAAAATACATGTACTGCGTACTCAATTTACTAGAGAGAAAAAAAGATGTCGGCAAAAAAACTACAGGCAGCGGCGCAATAGAAAAATGTAAATGGATTTATTACGAGCCATTGGAATTTTTGTTATGTGGTGCAACTACTTCTGGTGAAACGGATACTATGAATAAAACAGTAAGTTGTTTTTGTATATAATTGTTTTATACTATTGTCTGTAAAATTATTACAATTACGCTACATTATTTTGCCATGGAACTCTTCCCTCTGGAGTTATAAAGTAATCGGCAAACTGTTCTCTAATACAAAGAGCTGATTGTGATGCAGGCCTGCCCCGTCTTTGCAAATCAATCATAGGAAACGAACTTAGTTCCCTTCGCCAAGAACCTTCTAATAGGTTACCTTCAGAGTCTTCAAAATCAAAAGTTTGTGGAGGTGTATATATGGATCTGGAAACTGAGTTACGTCTTAAGAAGTTATGTAAATATACACAAGCAATTACCACGAGTTCACAATTGGCTGGTTTTAACGGAATAGGTTTAGTGAATACACGGAACACCACACATAAAATGCCAAAAACATTTTCTATAATCCTCCTAGCTCTTGATAGTCTGTAATTGAATATACGCTTTTTGTTCCCACGTTCATGAATGCCAGGATATGGTTTCATGATGTTCTCCGTTAGCGCGAAAGCACTGTCACCTACAATTACATACGGCATTTCTGTTCCGCCTTGTGTTATTGGTTCAGGCCGTGGCAGTTTAAGTGAGTTTTCTAACAATGCATTATAAAACGGTGTTTCTTGAAATATTCCACTGTCGGACGACCGACCCTTAGCTCCATAATTTGCGTAAATAAAGTTGTAATTGCCATCTGCAATTGCCATAAGTACCATGCTGAACTGATTTTTATAATTGTAGTATTCACTTCCAGAATTATTTGGCGCCACAATCATAACGTGTTTCCCATCAATGGCCCCAATGCAATGTGGAAAATTCCATCGTATTTCGAATTCACGACTTATTTGTTTCCATTCTTGTTCCGAACTTGGAACCTAAAAAATAAATAAATATATAATAAGATAATAATTTACAGGTAGATGAAAACAATGCACTTGAAAGTGGTATGGAGTCAGAGCCATCTCAATCACCAAGGCCGAATGCTACAACATCTACATCTTCGAGGAAAAGAAATAAGACAGATGAATCAAATGAAATATTAGAGGTTTTGAAAAGTGCTAGAAAAAGATGGATGAAAGGGAGAAGAAGGATCCATTTGATATATATGGTGAATATATTGCTGCTGAATTAAGAAGTGTTAAAGATGACCAAGCCGTGACACAGGCAAAGTACCATATTAATAATATACTGTATGAATTAAAAATGGGACGATATAATACATATGGATATCAAACGGCATCTTCTCATCCATCATCAACACCAAATAATGTTCAGGAAACTGAAATAAGGGAAATTGAGAGACACGAAACAAATAGACTAGATGCATTACGAGACGAAACAGAAGATTCGGCTATACTAAACTTAGTTAACTATCTCAGTGATGAATCAACGCAATAGCATACACTGTTTTTTTTTTTGTGTTTTTTAATTAATAAAATACTTGATTACACAAATAGTGTTCTTGTACCTTGACATATCCTGCTAGTGAGTTAATTAGTTCTTGACATACATCTGGTATAATTTTGCTAATCAATTGTTTTGATACTTTGAATGTGTATGAAAGAGAACTGTATGAATCTCCAGTTGCAAGATACCGTAATGTAATAGCCAGCCTCGTTTGAGGTGAAACTGGCTGACGAATATTTGTTTCCCTTTTGGCTATTGATGGACCAATCATTTCTAGAAGATGTTCGAAATCACTTTTCGACATTCTCGTAAAGTTACAAAATGATCCATCTGTCATTCTGAGGTCACTCATCAAATTTTCTCTTTGCAAAAGATAATTTCGAATCCACCATCTTTTTCTCTTTTTTTTATTAGAGATTCTATACATCTGATACAGAGAACACAACAACACTACCTCCTCGGGCAACATTTTAACGCAGACTGGCGTGTGGACAACCTGTATTGATTTAAACATAGTTGCTAGCAACATTCTCGCCGCTCACCAACAATGTTTAGCAACTGTTGCTAAACAAATGTTTACCATGAATACGGGGCTTAATTCTCAAAAAAGTTTTTTATATACGGTCGAGCCATCTTCCCGGATGTCTTTGTAAGAAATATTGTGGCAATCAGCATTGCCCACGGGTTCTGAAAGAATTCCTCTTCGATTATGTAATGTGGTGATTGGGGCATTATCCTCGGGGTTATGTTGAAAAAAGGGCATATGTTCATAGGATCCGGTTCTTGTATTGTTAGCTGAGATAAGCTCAGCCCATCTGTCTCGGAATCTATTGAGGTCTGACTTTCTTGAGAGCTCAGGGATGTGTCTGTTCTGGAACTTAAATTGAAGAATGTGCTGATGCAATTCAGATCGTTCGCCATTTTCTGAAACAAATATTAAATATTAACCAATACGATTCTTATTAGAAACATATATTTTTAATTACTCACTAGGAGAATTTGCACCTGCTTCGTGGGTATGGGCCATTGACCACGAGAGCGTTGACACATATCATAAATATTATCGCAGTTTTTGTTTTCCAATTAATTATATAAGTAATCCCATAAATGAACATTATCCTAACTGCCGGAAATAAAATATTTCGACCAGCAAGAAAATAAAATAAATTTACCTAACATGTCCATACCAGTATTCATTAAAATTAGTCAAGAATCTTTCCCCATTAATTTATAACACGCATACTTTAAAATCGACCCATCCATAAAATATTGCTACTTATTTTGTTACAGTTGATTTAATGGTTTTGTCTATAGACATGTACCTCTTCTAAATGTTCAAATCGTCAAAATTCTATAATATGATTCATATACGTAATGTTATATATAAAATTCTCGTGTCACAATGTTACCATACTCCTCCGAAACGGCTTGACCGATTTTATCAAATTTTATATGCATATTCAATAGGTCTGAGAATCGGCTACTATCTATTTTTCATACTCCTAAGTGATAAGGGTTGTCCACCCGTAACATTTTATTTTTACACGCTTTATATTAGCTTCACCTGTATGTATGTATGTATTTATGAATGTATGTATGTATGTATGAATGTATGTATGTATGTATGTAACCGACTCCTTCGGACTCGATTTTGACCCACTTTAAACGGACAGATTTAATTCAAACTTTGTACACTTATAAAGAATCAGCGACAATATAATAATTTCATAGGTTTATCTCGAAAAAACAATGAAATTTATTTTAAGTCTACAAAGCAATACGATTAAATTGAGACAACACGTATTGCTGCTAGGACTAAAAAGTGGAAAATAAATATAGTTTAAAAAAACTAAAAAACACGCTTTTAAAGCACATCAAACTAAAAAGTGAAAAATAATTCCTAATTTAGGCTGAAAATGGTAATGAACAAAAAATACTGGTATTATTGTGAAAAAGCGTGGGTTGCTCGATGGCACATTTGGACGAAATTTAACATACAAAAATACATACAACCCTTAATTTTCACCCCTCTACGATCAACCCCTATTTTTATTATAGTTGATAGTTATTTTTATTGAACTAAAACAATGTTTCCTAGAAATAATATACATGGCAAAACAACGTTTGCTGGGTCAGCTAGTTGTAGATGTATTTTCGGATTTTTTTCCGGAACTTAAAGCCATGTTTCTTGTTTTGTATAAATCAAATACTATTTTCAATAGATGTAGGCGTATTTGAGTGTTAATTAGCAATCTTTCCACTCTGTTTTATGTATTTATTCGTATTTGTTTACGAATAACTTTGACATTGAATTTTATCCTTGATGTCACAAAAAGAGAGACATATGGCTACACTACTTGGCAACTTATAATATAATATTTAACTGTAGATACAAAAATATATATATAAAGAAGGGCGCAACTTAGCATCAACTTTTTTTTAATTGAAAAAAGTAACACAAAGCCAGATTCTTCATTAAATCAGCCTCTAAGTAGTAATAATATTAATAATGTAGCTTTATTTTATTCCATAAAAATTCAAACACACATACGACTCAAGACATTAACAGTAAGTAATAAGAGTAAAAATGTTTATTTATATTTATTTGGATAACTTCCCTACACCTCGTCCAAATCATTCCACAATTTTGCTATCTCTAGCCAACTTTCCTACTAAGGGTAATTAGTACTATACTAAGGTAAACTTATTTAAAACTACGAAATATGTACTTAACTGAATGTTAGTGAACGACTCTAGCGGCTAGCCCTATAGCATATATATATTATATATTGCAGGAATGGTGTATCATTCATATGGTGACTTGCTTTATCGAATACCGACATTTAATTTGCTACAATATCTGTTTATATTCAGTTTTAGAACTATTTCTACTATACGAAAACGAGAGGACGCCTACCAGATACCGAGCGGGGAAAGATTGGACCCTCTTTCTTTAGACAAATGGAAAAATTTGGGGGCCTACGCTTCGTCGGAGGTCGTGTACTAATATTAAATACAATAATAACATAAACTTAATTAATCCTTATAATAGTACTCGAATATAGGCTATTTTTATTTTATTTTGAGCTGTTTCTTACATATGGAACTGCTTCCTCAACCAATCGAAATGTACATTATTTTTGATACCTCAAGAAACAGGACATAGGGAACACACATGTAACGTTATGTCAAACAAAAACGAAGTCACAGATCACAACCTAACTAACCCACAGCCTAACTATAGAACACAGGTAGATGTCAATGTCATTGAAGTTCCCAGAACTCCATACACTACATACTTCCTTTATCCTTCAAGACGGTACGAAACAAATTAATACCAAGACGTTTATATGGCACATTTATAAGCTACATCACAAACACTTTAGCATAAACCGCACATTATTAGTGTAATTGCACATATTTCCTACAACCTCAAGGTGGTTAAGATCTCCGGAAGTTATTCGTAAACGACATTATACTCTATTTTTTATACTGCCCCTTTTAAATAAATTGTCTCTACAATCTCTCTTGCATTCTCAGTCAGTAATAGTCAGTAGTAGTTTCAATCAAAAAAACAGTATATTTACAGTTTTCTTACCCTACATAGTAATAATAAAAATTACTAAAAAGGATATATAACATAGGAAAGTGTCCAACAACACTCCTTACAGCCTCTATTAATGGGAAATATATACTGACTTAAAGATTCTAGATTTGTTGTAGTGTGACATATGGCTATGTACATAATAAACCTTCTCGATGGGGTGGGATTATTTGAGTTTGACAACATTTTTTTAATAATTTATTTAACTTTATCATAAGTTTGACAACAATTTTATATAACTTAACTTATTATTATGACATTATGTTAATGTTCTTATTATATGACTTTATGATAATTAATATGACATTTGCATGCCTATTTTTATACGGCTGATTGTGTGGATTTTTATAATTAATCGATCTAAATGAACCCCTTTTGCAAAGAAACGATTTATTATTATTATGGTTTTACCTACTTAGGTATTTGTATGGAATAAGGTAGCAAATTATCATATTAGCGATATTTTATTGCAAATCGAGTAGGTGCAATCAAATTATATACAGAAACGATAAATATTTTCTACTTATAGTTTTTTTTTATTTAACTCTTTTCGTTGATAAATAATGGCCAAGTTTGTACTATTCGTATAAGAAATCGTCGTTATCCCTGAAAAAGTCATAAGGTAGTAATTTGTATCTACGGTTTTTTTATAAGTGTACCCTATCTAAGCTTGCATTTAAGTAATTTGGAGTAATATACTTTTCTTTATATTTCAAAAAAAAAAACCATTATTTCTTCGATATATCGAAAAAGATGTTTAAACGTAACTTAATTGAAACATAATAAGAAACTGTGAAATTGTGCCACCGACATACGAAGCATATGAATTTTAATTGAAATGTTTTTCAAACATGTAACCTCATGGCTGTTCTTTGTTTAAACTGTATTCATAATAAACGGTAAGAATTTCAATGCGAGAAAGAAAAGAACATTTACGTCATAAAATTTTAACTTACTTATAAAATACCACCGAAACTAAAGTCTAGTTTTTAGACCTGTCAAACCATTTATTACTTCACAACGCTCCATCAGAGTGTGATTTGAGATACCTACGTCTTTTTCAGAGAAGCATAACTTCATTTGCCTAGAGTTAAGCAAAATTATAGTCTATGATCTGTTCCGTGTTACCTATGATTTTATCTTCTAACAACCATCACACTTTATAGTTTTGTTAGTATTGTTCATAGTCATGCTATGTAGTACTTAGTGTTTATAGTCAAGTTATGGAACCTGTAAGCCTAAATGGGGCATTGTAAAGAACGCATCATCTGTTTATATAAGCAAGACGTGACCATCCAGATCCGCTTTCATACCCAATCGGTTCTCTCATTAGTGGATGTCTAATATTAAATCAGAACCTATTATTATGGGAAATACTAGCATATAAGGTAGTTATTAATTACAAATAAGAACGTTAATTAAGGGTTTTCCCAATTCCATTACATTTAAGTGGGAATGTAGAATGTTAATCGATATTTTTGACTAATGCTAACATAGTAACATAGAGCATAATAAAAATAATGTACACTACACCTAATAAAAAAACATTTAATTGTTAATAAGACACAAATTTATAAATAGTAATATAATTAATTTAAAATCGAATACTAAATTGATTTAAAAATTTGTAGGTTTTATTTGATAATAACGAAATAATTTGTTAAAGGAACTGAACTCCATTATTACTATACTCCATTACTATTAAAACCATTAGTTTTTTCTTACTCTGCGTTCTTTATAACCAACGGCATATATACAAATCATATTTAGAGAATCGTTTGAGAACTAAACCTGACATTTACATAATAGCAAAAAATAATAATAATAGCAAAATTAGATACTAATTTCTGTCCGCTAGCCAATTGCAAATGCAAATAGCTATCAGGTGTGCTCACAGCTGGCAGACAATACACCGATTATATTCATTCCCCGATGCTCCATTGTTAATTTTTCTCATACTAATTACGACAATGTACGAAGAAATTAAAATCTGTCGCCGCTTTCGTCTGTTTAGGTTGAGTTATCGGCGAAGCAACACGTGTTTCGCGCTTCTCACGAGAAAAACACCGTTATGTTCAACACTTTGTGGCGAAAATCAAAACATTTTATCGGATATCGTGCGAGTTTATAGTTCGCTTGTATTGTGTTTTTGTGGTCGCAGTATTCATTGGTTGCGTGTTAAATATGGATTCGTGCCTTGGACTTCATTATTGTGAGTAGAAAAGTTAAATATTGGCAAATGATCACAAATAATAGATCTATACTCATGCGTCTTGATCGTAGTAAATTTTGAATTCGTTTAAAAAAACTAGTTCTA